TTTAAATACCGGTCTTGTCCCTTACGCCCCTCTTCAGTAATGTGGTGACTTTTACTGTCTCGTAGCAGAGTGAAAAACTTAATCGTAATTTCGTAGTGAAATCGACTGAGAAGCAATCCTCCCCTCCGTTGGTTTGAGTTTCTTGATTTTGTTTTTTCTTTAAAAGTGCACAGGTGCTGGGTGTTCCGGCTTTTCTGGATTTGGGCTTTTTTGCTGTAGGCTCTTTCTGCGCTCCTGCTGCTGGCGCCTGCACTAAGGATAACACTAGGTTTTCTTGCATTAATACTCTTCAAATGTGTGTGTGTGATCGGTAAAAGCCAAGTGTCTGTCTCCTTGCACTGATGTCCTGAGTGGATGCTGATGCTTTAGCCCAGCAAATGTGGGTTCTTTGGTTTCTTTACCGTGAACACAGTGGTAGTGCTTGGGGTAGAGCATGTCTGTGTACTGAGATCAGTTTATTTCCCATGGGAATCTTTCTTTGCCACTGGAACCTAAACCTAAGCAGTGTGTTGTGCAAATGCTCCCCTGGAGTGCTGGGATAGCCAAAACTGCTGAAGTATCTTGCCTGGCCTCGGTTTATGTCTCTTGTGAGAAACTGTAAGCTGTAATGGGTAAAAATGGGATCAGAGAACTTGGAGGAGCCTGAATGATTTTTATTTTTTTCTAAAGACATGGTACTTACTACGTGGAGCTTAATTAGAAGCAAAGATAAGGGGTAATGCCGGTGGGTGGATGAGGAAGGGTAACACATCAGGCCTTGTGATGTGGGTTTGTTGACTGTATCTCTTAGTTACAGGATATTCTAGCTGAGATTGCGTTTGTACCTCTTAAGGGAGAATGAATCTACTGCTTAGCTGCAAAAGCACGTTCCCAGCAGCGGGACAGTTTCTAAAGCTGTGCAAGATGGATCAGTACTCTTGGTTTCTAGGAATATGTGCACTGTTACAACAACTCATCAGTTATATGCAGCGTACACCACGCAGAAGACTTTACTATGCAAATCCTCTGCATGAAATTAAAATAATAATGGAAGTTAAGTCTTGTTTGTAGTAATTTGTAGCAGGCTTTTGAAATATCAGTTGCTTTCCTCTTATTTATCCATTTTCATTGTAGCCATTGATGCAGTTTAAAATTGTAGGGGGGAAAAAAGATTGCAGAAGACAGAGGAAGGGAGTGTGTGTGAAAGAGATGAGAGAGAGATTGATACCGAGATTCATTTTCTTGGCACTGTCCTTGTAAATCTGTTTTGCATATAGTTAAGGGAATGAGCTTATTACTTCAGATAAGATTAGCTTCCAAAATAGTGTAATAATAGGCTTCTGTTGCCTCGTAAGGAGAGATTTTGACTGCCGAAGTGGAAATAGTGCTTGGGTTGAAAGAAATGTCTCCATCGGTGAGCAGCTGTCCTGGGAAGCACCAGTCAGTCAGCCAAAATGCTGCCCAGGCCCAGCTGAGTTTCATCCCTAATGGCCTGGATGACTGCAGAAGTTGCCTTTTCTCTGCCGAGTGCAGTTGGCCTCTGTTTTTAATTTACCAATACACAGCTTTTGTTTTATTGTTCCAGGTGTGATTCTGCAATTACAGGCTTACATAATTTCTGAAGTGTTTAAAAAAAAAACCCACAAAAAAAAACCCAACCAAAAAAACCCCACCACACCCACCAAAAAAAAACAACAAAGCAAGCCCCCTACAAAACCACTTAATTATTTGTTCTAGGACACCGATTTTTCAACTGACCAGAAACATAGACTGAAGTAAGGAGTAACACTGTAGTTTTATTATAACACCCTGAAAGGTTTCAGCTGGAACACAGAGCCTTAAACTTTGGAACTTAAGCCTGAATCATACAGGAGCTTACCAAGTGAGATGCATCTTAGTCAAAATCCTTACTTGCCTGTGTTAGCAGCATCCGCCTTTTTAATGTCTCTGTCTCCATACAGTAGACATACTTGTTTGAGACTGCAGCAGTCTCAGGGGCTGAATATTCTGGTTCCCCTTATTGATCCCTGCAAAACCCTGAATGTCAGATGAAGGTCAGATTAACTACTTATTAGACAAAATTTTGTTACCGTAAAATAGTGGAACTACAAATGTATAAAGTGTTTGTCTCCAGGACTTAATTTTGAAAATAACTTAGGGTGCTTGACGTGTGAAGGGCACAAGTTCTGTGTGCAGAACCTTTCTAGAACCCCCTTTCTTTTTCCCCATCACTTTTATGGTATAATAGTGCAAAGTGTGCAGGAATCATGGCTGTCTCACCAAAAGTATCTTCCCCCCCACCTAAGAAAGGTCAGATTTTAAGTCAGATGTGATCAATGGTAATTAAACTAGTGTTCTACACCTGTGGCTGTCCTATAAAATCTGTGATTTGAGCAAAGAACTTAAGCTCTTACATCCTCTACTGGAAAGACTTTGATTTGTTTTATATATTTTTTTTCTTTTTTTTTTTTTTATTTTTTTTTGCAAGGGTGACATACTCCTTTTGTAGTTATGGTTTGGATTTCAGTCATCAGAGCCATCAAGGTGGTAGGTTTAATTCTTTGGAAACCTTGTCTTCCAGACGGATTCTCTGCTGACTTTCCGTTGGTTTTGCCCTACTCCAGAGCATACCAAAATGGTAGTATTTCTTTCGAAGCTTGACAACAGTAGATCTTTTTATGAATGGCTCCCTAAAATGTCCCTAGGGATTTGGGAGACTTCACTTCTGTTTCTAAATCTATCATTCCACAGTACAGATATATCTTACTTCCCTCTCTCTGATAGTAAGAAGCTGTATTTCTAAATTGTTCCGCAGACCTTTCTTTTTTTTTTATAAAAAAACCCCAACAACAAAGTCCCACAGATTTAGGTGAGGGTATGAGTGTCTCAAAAAGATGTAGTGGAGGGTGAATGGCCAAGGGAGGTTGCCAGAGAAGTTGAAATAAGGCCGTAAGGACAATTTCACAAGGTGTGAAGCATTATTTTATGTCAGATGAGGTGTATTACAGCATGTTATGCACGCTGAATTCAACCAGTTTTTCTTATCGACATTAAATCTATGGAATCTTGTTTTGCTTATGTGTTGTAGATAATTGGGGAGAAATTTTCTTATGCGTAAGTTCCTGATGGAATAGGGTTCATGTTTATTCGTGTGTTGATAACCAAACCTATCTGAAGTTTTTGGTGTCAAAAGAGATTTGATGGCAGTATGTCTGTACTGTGGTAGTGCTCGTGTGCTTCCCTCCCCTGGGCTTGTGCAGTGACTTTTTCCATCTGTTCCTCCTCGTGTGAGAAGTGAGGAGACGTTTGCTGTGTGCGAGCGGCTTATCACATGAGGACTGAAATGAAAGCTAGCAGTCATGTGAGTGGGGTAGATTAGGGTCTGCTTAATGACAATGGTAAAACTACTTCTCAACTATAGAGGTCTGTTTGCACTGGAGTGAGTTAAGTATGTTGCATAGCTTAAAGGGATATTGTTGGGTTAAAAAAAAAAATCTTGTTTGAAAATTAATTCAGTGTTATGTTTGTAACCTTGTTTCTTTTTCACTTAAAAAGGAGAAAATAAATGCAACTTGAGCTCAAGAAGGGATAGTACAAGCGGAGAGATCGAAGTGGGCACGTGGTGTGGAAACTAGTTTTCATGAGACTGGAGATAAGGGGTGGGGAGAACACAAAAGCTGTTTGAGAGACTTTCAAGAGATGATTGGGTATTGAAACAGTCAGAGGAACAACCTGAAGCTTTTCTTCATGGAGGCATGAGATGTCACGGGAGAGGTTGCGGTGTCCTGGAGAGAATGAGGGTGTGAGGTGTCTGGGGAGTGCCAGGAAATTTGATGGGAAGGAAGGTGAGGTGCTATTAAGTCTAAGTAAACATACCTGGGAAATGACTGTTAACGCTAATGAAGGGGCTTTCAGGGGAATAGCAAAGGGGAAAATTAGACTGGAGATGAAGGGAAGAAATGAAGCATTTTTTTTTGTGTGTGAAGTAATAATTTGTAGCCTTGACCACAGGCAACAGTACTGATCATATACTGCGCTTCTGACAAAATCATATTTTGCTCCTCTCTTGGCCTCAGTTAGAAATATTTAGTTCTTGTCCAAGTTGGAGGATGCAGAGAATTAAGTAAGCTGTAATGGAGAGCAACTTGAGCAATGTTTTACCTGCGAGCTAAGCTTTGGGATTACTGGTGGGGTTCTGCAGGTTTTTGGGAAAAGAGGTTGAGTGTTTAGAAAGAGGAGAGGAGAGGGGGGAAAACTAACAGGAAAGCAAAAAGCCAGTAAGGATCTTTCTTCCTAAGCAGAGAAAAGGGATGCGAGAACACGATTTGTGGAGGGAGGAGGAAAGGGAAGGCAGAGATGCAATAGTAGGTACCTAAAGGAGATGGAGCTGGCTTCAATTTAAAGGATAGTATATGTTTTTGAGCGTGTCAGAGGATGAAAAGTAGAATGGGAGCGGCCAGCAAAATAAATTTGAGGGGTGAAGGGGGGAAATCTAATGGGACAGGATGAGTTCAGTCAGTAGTACTGTGCTAAGCTTTGGAAAATGAAAGGGAAAAAAGGAGGAGGGGAAGGAAAAAAAAAAAAAGAATTCTTTTAATATCAGGGGTTGGAAGTAGAAGTAGTGATAAGTAAAATATAGGTCACTCTTATAGTTCCTGGCAGATAGAAAACATAGGCTGGAGTGAAAGATTGCTGCAAAAGGTGTAATATTTTTGGAAAAGATGAGAAAAGGAAAAAGCAATACGGACACCCAAGAACACAGGAGAGCGGTGAAGGCAGCTGAGAAGACCAAAGAACTAAAACACCCAACCAACCTGAGATGGGACGAAAAGTGAAAGAAGTGAGAGTTTGGGAGGAACAGGATATTGCCCAGTTGAGTGCTATTAAAATAAAGAATTTGAATAAAGAACCATGTGGAATGATTTAAAAAATTGATTTTTAAAATTTTCAGAGCCATTTTACATAACTTGGAATAAAACCCCCTTCCTTTCTATGTGAAATATCTCTTTTTTTTTTTTTTCAGCGATCCTTTTGCTGCTCACCATGAATACATGCGGCAGATGATGAGAAGCTTCTCTGATCCTTTTGGACGAGATCCATTTCTCAGTATAACAGATGGTGGGGAGAGAACCGTAGATCGAAGAGCACACCAGGACTCTCAGGTTGCTCTAAGAGGAAATCGCAGAGTAAGTATTTCCTTAATCTCTAAGGATTCCTACATGGAATTTACATTTACTGGTAATAGAGTTGGCTTCACATTTCCATTTCTGTTCAATTTGGTCCAGTGGAGACAGAGGCCTGGCTCAGCTATTGCAACCTTGGTCAGATTGCTTCATCACCGAGTAAAATCTGAATAATATCTCTCTTGGTTTCTTAATGGCCTGTTACTTAACACTGGCAAACTTCTGTTAGGGCTAATAACAAGTCTGTATGTTATTGAACATTGAATATGCAATATTTAATTAAACAAACTAAACATTTATCAAATGTTTGGTTTAATAAATATTATGTATTAAATGTTCCTATTACAGAAAGGCATTAAAAATGTCCCAATGGCAGAGCCTTCTCTGAATGCTTTATTTCCTTTTTATGCAAACTTTACTTAAAAAGGTACTTTGATATGTTAATACCTTCACTCTGCACTTTAGCATCTTGTGTCTAGGTATTTATGTTGGTTTGATTTAACACAAACCTGTGTTTCAGCCACCTAAATAGTATCTACACAGATATTTTAAGCCCTGTTTCAACTTTGCAACTGTGAATAAAGGCTCCACATTCTGTATTTGGTCTGATTCTTAATGTTTCCTGTAAATACAAGACAATAAGAATTAAAGATTGAGAAAATTGATACGAAACCTAGTATTTCTGTAAATTACCACCTGAAACTGGGAAGTTGGCAATGATCTATGTTTTACATAAAGTATCTTTTCAGCTCCCTGGGCATGCAGGACAATCATATCTTCTGCTTCTGTAGCTAAACCTTGTCTAATTGCTGTGTTTAGAAAGGATATATGTTTGAAGTTGGTTCCTTTCCCTCCACCAGGCTAAATATTTTGCAGCTGAATGATCTCTTACTTTAATGAATCACATTTGATTTTAAAAAGCAGTTGGAAGACAAGACAGATTACAAGGGCTTGTGGAACTCCGCCAGATCTGGTGGCGGTTGTTCAAACCGAGATAGTTAGAGCTTAATAAACATAGCTGAAACACAGACTATCACCTATGAGTCAAAAGGGTAACTGTCAGATTCTTTCCTCGGTGCTCATACGTTGCCGGTTAGGTTCAAATATAGATGCTGCTGGATCTAATTAGGGCATGATCTTTCCTCTACTGAAGCAGATTCTTAGGTCTTGGTTCAGTAGATGCATAAAACCAGATCAGGCTTTTTCCTTTAGAAAAAGAATATGTCAAACCTTACCCTGATAGCTTAGGGGTTTATGTCCCTTGTTCTTGGCAGTGAGGGATAAATGGGAGGCATAGGAAACCTTTATCTGTGGTTACAGAAAGAAGTTAAAGGTGTAAGAGCGCTGTGTTATTTTGATAAGCACAAAAGAATTCCACACCTGCTGAAATCTTTCCAGTATCTTTTGATGTTTCTCATGTTTCACCTAGCAGTTGTCAGATGTCGCAGAAGACTCAGCACTGATTACTTGAGCCTTGTAGTAGTCTCAAACTGCTTTTACTGGTTTCCCTCCAGAAGTGATTCAAACACTTAAAATAATTAGATTTTTACATCGGAAAAGATGGATATCTTTACTACCGTGTAAAATGCACTTTGTTAAAATTACAATACCGGTAACGAGTATGGGTAATTCTATGTTTAAGTAAACTGTAGCATGCCTAAAACTGCTTTACAAGGAAAAGAATTTGTTGCAACAATTCAATGTGCATCCATATAGCACTCAAATTTGAAAATGCTTTTCCTTTCTCAAGCAGGTTTGCAGTGTCAGTTTTTAGCCTCTTGGAGGGAGGGAAGGAGGAGGAAAGGATATGAGCAGGAGGAGTGGGGTAAAACATCTTAAGAGATACTGTCATTTGGTTTTGTTTGGATATCTGATTGTCCTGCATGTTAGGCAACTATTTAACAGCTTTTAGTATGTATTCTAAAACAAAGAGTTTATATATTTTATGACTAGCAACCTCATTATTTCTGAGGATACGCTTTTGCACTTGATATATATAGAAAAAATTATATTATTTTCTGTCACTACATAGTAGACACAACTGCAATCTGAAAGAGTTCATAAAGGTATTCAAGAATCAGGTAATTCCTTCCTTTTGTACGTAAAGTTATTTTGTTACTTAAAGTGTTTGATACTTCTGTCTAACCAGTCTTTCTTTAGGTACACTGTTATATAGCTCTTCACTCTTAGTTTCCTGGAAACATCGGTGTGTTTTCCAGCATCTCATCACCCTGTCATATAGGGATATTCAGTATCAGTTGGTCAAACAGGAACTGTATTTGCCAGTGTTTATAGCTACATCTATTTATACAACTGCAGAAGAATATAATTTGCTCATGGGGATTTGTCTTCGGGCGGTTCTGAATATGATGATAGATTTACCTAGAACTTCTTTGCAGTGACCTTTGAAACTGCGGACAAGTTAGACTTCATCTTGTTTACCGCAAGGGATGTATGGATGTTCTAGAGAAATATCATTTATATTTACATTAGTCTCTTGTAATACATAAAGAGTGCTTGTGAACATTTCAGCTGCATCACTTAATTTTTTAAGCTCTAAAATTGTGTGCCAGCCTTCTGAAATGTAATTACATAAATTTATGTTAAAGGGACTCTTGATTTGTTGATTTTAATCAATTTTCAGTGATGGGGTTCTGTTGCATGAGTAGAATGAAGTGTTTTCAGAGAAGTGGGTGATCTCTGAACCACCGTGCCGTGATTTAAATAATTTTTAGTACAAAGGTTGCTATGGTCTACAACTGTTTTTCAGCTTCTAGCTTGACGTGCTTCTAGTACATATATATGAATATGACTTATTAGATGTGGTGACAGCCATTGCTTTCCAATACCGTTAGTATATATTGCTTCCATATGCCCAGAGACTACTTTCTATTATATTGTCATAGCACACTATAAATTACCGAGGTCCTCTTGAGTGACTGTTTTTACTTGATCGGAAATATTTAGTATCACCTGCTGTATATGAGAGTGCGCTAGGAAAGTGCTGCATATGAAAGTTCCTTCTGCTGTGTCTGATAACAGGTGTAATAACTAAAAGACACTGGTCCTTTTTCTTCCAGGCAACAAGCTGCTCCCTCATGCCCTTTGCAGGCTTTGGTAGGGTGGTTAGTATCCCAGGAGCAATATTCCTTGTAGCTCTTGCTAGTGTGTGTGTACTGTCTGTGTAACTAAAGCATGGACAAAGGCTGGTCTCTGTGTGCTTGTAAACTGCTTTTGTTGGTGTTTAGATATATGCAACAATGTAATTCAAGAAAGATTATTTTTTTTTCGCCTCCTTATTCAATGAAAATGCTGGGGTAGACTAAATTTGTTGATACCAAGATTGGAGAAGTTACTACTTAGCAGCTGGCTTTTCTACGCAGCGATGTATCTGTTGGTGCTTGATCTCTGATGGATATGAATGAAATAATCCCTGGAGAGAGACTCTAAACTTTGAGTGTAGCCTGTAGACGGATGCTAGTGACTTGGAGTGTGGTTTTGTCCATGATACCAACAAGCACTGGTCACAGCTAAGAGAGGCCAGGTTCTGGAGACAGAATTTCCACTGGAACTGGGCTTGGAATAGTTTTCAGCTGTAGTTCGTTGAGGGTCTGGAATATCTTGTAAAAGACCTCTAAAAAGTACCTGAGGGAAAACAAGTTTGTTGTTATGACTCTCACGGAGCTCTTTGCTTCCTTTGGAAGGCTTTAGAGAGTCCTCAGGTTGAAAACTAGTAGCTTAGAGAGCGGCTTTTGCTTGCTGAGCTAGATAAAAATAAGCACAGGTCTTTGAATTTTCAGATCTAAAAGTATTGCTTGTTTAATTATCTCTTCCAGAGGCACAAATTGGCAACTTGCCGTATGCCAAAAGTGTATTAGCTAATCAAAGTTCTTTTGCTATTAACTGCACAGGCTATGGTTTTACTCCCCCTGCCCTGATCTATGGCACGTAATTCCATAGGTACAACTGATTACTATGTAATGTCATCGGTTAACATCCAGATTTCTAACTGTAGAAGGCAGTTTTCTGGAGTTACTGACACTTGCAATGATTTCATGCCCTAAATTGCCTGTAATTATTGCCCAGAGGTTTTGATAGCCCTTAAGGATTCAGATTTCTTGTTACTCAACAAATTGAAGATTTGCTATTCCTGAATTTTACTTAGTTTTGTGCTTAAACTGCAGATCTTGTTTTAAAACAACTTTTAAATACATAGCCATTTAAATGGATTTATTTAAATTTAATTCTGTTTCCAGTAGTTGGAGGAATGTGGGGTGCTTGCTATTGTAATTAGCGTTTTCCTGGCGTTTCATTGCACGGTAGTAGGGCAGAGGGCTGTTACGTACAACCCGGCAGCCTGCCTCTTGCCAAAGCTGCTGGGTTTTGCGGAGCCCCTGGGAGCCGTTTTCCCCGCTCCTCCTACGGCCTCGGACCTGTGGACCAGAGCGTGGTGGTGGCACAGCGGCTGTCCTGGGAAGCAGCTAAGTGTGCACATGGCTAGAAGCTCACCAACTAACCGGTGCCTGGTGCTCGCTCTTAACTAGTGTTCTCCAACCAGAGCTGCTCGTGTCGGAAACCAGGCAGCCCAGCAGAGAGTTTGAATGGGTCCTGAGGAAAAGATCCTAGTAGGAGAGGAAAGGTGTGGCAAAAATCATCTTTATTGTCCCCACCTGCTGCGCTGGAGGGTAGCCCAGAGGGGGATGCTCATTTGGGACAGCATTGCTGTTTTCCCAGATGGTCACTTAGGAGTTTCCCTACTGTCTGTCTCCCTGTCTCTCTTTTTTGTTGATTGTTTGTTTTCTTCCAAAGGTAGCTTTCATCAATATGGTCAGTACTTGTCATCAGCTACAGATCCTATTAATAAAATTCTGGGCATGTAGACCTGTCTTAGTATCTATCCTTTGTGCAACACTGGATCTTCTGCTTCCATGTAAAAATAACAAATGAATGTTTTGTTGAATGCATCTATAGCATCAAGTAATTAAGCTGCCATTAAAGTACTAAATTATAGTTCCCTGATTTTTCCACGCTGTCCTTTAATGTGTAATGCATGCGACTTCTGCAAAGGAACTGCTATGCCTGCTGGGATGTGTTTTCAGGGTGATTCCATATGCATTAAGGGATTTGCATAATAGAGATAATTTGATCTTCAATAGATAAGGCATGGAGGTTCTTGCAGTACTTTTACAGCAGAAGCTAGTTAGGTTAGAAGGTATATGAAAATAGTTCTTGTAAATTTGCCACAATATGAGCTTGTTTTGACATTTGAGTGTCAAGTCTTTCACTTCTGTCTTTCCGGTATCTCCAACTTAACAGTCAAGCTCCCCATGCTGGCTTTCAATCTTTCATTTGAAAAGATGCATTTTGGCTTGTCTATGTCTATGAATTCCAGTCTGTGCAAACCTTTTTGATGGTCTGATTTGCATTAAAAAAATGCATGTGAAAAAACAGCTTCAGAACTTGAAGAGTCAGAAGACTGTGTTGTAATGTCTTTTCTTTTTAGCAGGATGCAGATTTTGGGGAACCTTTTTTTGCAATGGACAGGATGATGTCAAATATGAGAAACAGTATGCTGGAAATGCAAAGAAAATTTGTAAGTTTTTAAATGTGTTCTAAAATTAATTGTATTGGAGAATGGCAGTTGTTTAAAATATTACTCAGAAGGTCCTGCCAAGAAAAGACTACTCAGAATTATTTTTTTTCCCCAGACTATATCGCGGTTCTGATTCTCTGTCCTGCCAAGAAAAGACTACTCAGAATTATCTTTTTTCCCCAGACTATATCGTGGTTCTGATTCTCTATGCTGTACTGTTGTTAGCAAATAATCACTGAGTTTAAACGTATGCTTGATTCTCTAGGGATTAGAACTGCTGTACGTTATCTGGTATCTGGCTGTTGCCAGAGCTGACACCTTAAGTGAAGGAGCAGTTTAAAGTGTTACTGTATGCTTAAAAACAACAAAACCACAAACACCTAAGTGCCACTCTGCATGTAGACTTTCCTCTGATTTTATTTTCAGTGCTGCTGCTTTCTTCTTTATTCACAGGCTTTGAAGATAACACTGACATCTATTAAGTGTTGCTGAGTATATTTACTGTGTTTTACTGGCCTTGTAAAATGGCTTGTGACCATTGTTGCTGAAGTCCTATTTCCACTGAACTCTTTACACACCTTATTGTATACTGGATTTGGCAAGACTGATGTTGTAGGTTATATCTTCATTACTAAACTAAACTATGCCAGGGTGAACCTTTGAGCAGTTGCTTATTACTGCCCATGCCTTTTAATTGTTGTTGTGCTTCCTGGCACAGGGAGACCTGTGGCCAGACAAGGCTACGACAAGAGTGAGGCCTATCAAATGCCAGGATCTCTTCCCAACGGGCCACATCGATGGTGCCAGGACTGAGGGTTAATTTTTCAGAGCAGTATTCTTTTTCATAAAAAGATAGTCTCAGAGTGTAAGAAGTACCTATTATCTTCAAGTTTTAATTTCTATTAATCAGAAGTCTACATTGCTTGTAGGATGACCTGTCCATCCATCCTGATGCACACACATTCAGCTCTTCCTCTGTGATGACATATTCCAAAATAGGGGATGAACCACCGAAAGTTTTCCAAGCTTCAGCTCAAACACGCACAGCTCCAGGCGGGGTAAGTAGTCCTGAGATGCAGTGAAAAGGTGGTTTGTAATTATTGGAATTTAAGTTTGTCTATACCAAACCACAGTTTCCTTCAGGGTCTTTTTCCTGGAGACAGTTGCTCTATAATTTAGAAAAATATATGTCTGTTTAAATACTGCTTTATATTAAAGGCTTCTTAAGGTAGAGTGCTGTTTTCTTCCTGGTAATTTGTATGCTTCTAAGTATACATCTAAATAAATTGTATGCCTATCAAAGACTGGAGAAATTGAGTGCCGGAACAGCTGATTCTTCAAGGCGGTCTCCAATGTCTTTCTCTTTGCTATAATGAATCCTCTTCTTGTGCATTTAAAATTCTGTCTAAAATATAAGATAGGAAGAGGCAGTCTATTTATGCAAAACATAGTTTCAAATCATCCCCTTTACTCAAGCGCTTTTAAATGCTTACGTAACGCTTCAGATGAAGATGCCCTTTCATTGACTTCCTTGCAGCTGTTGTGTCTAATTCTGCTAAGAAATTTGAATTTGAATTTGAACCCTGAAGCAAGGTTCATGAAAGACTATATGCGAGCAGTAAAGGCCGTTGAGCATGCTTGGCTGTGGGATACGCTCAAGCTCAAGCAGACACTCAGTTATCAAAAAGGTTCTAATAATATACCTATGAACACAGTGATAAGTGGTTGCCTGGGTTTCAAGCCAGTCAACATGACAACCTAGTAATTAGTTGTCCCTTCGTGCTGAGAATATTGGCATCGGCTGTTACTCGTTCTGTTGTCAAGGAGAATGTTGAAGACTTGTCTGCATGTAGTATATTTAGACTACGTGGTTTTTTTTTCCCCAACAATTAATACCCGGTACGTACATTACTTAGGAAGCTTTAGGTGGTGTTGTTTAACCTTCCTATCTGTTGGCAAAAAGAAAATAGACTTGATCTGTGCTTTGTTGGTGTGTTTTCAGCAAACACAGTAAATGAGACAATTGGAAAAGCCTGTAAAACCTAATTTTTTCAAAAGAAAGATATCCAATTTTCTTCTGAAAGGCTTTATTTTTTTAAAGTTTTTAATGTCTTTTTTGGTTGGAAGGACACTTACTTCCCTTTTTTGTACAGATTAAGGAGACAAGGAAAGCACTTAAGGATTCTGAAAGTGGACTGGAAAAAATGGCTATTGGTCATCATATTCATGATCGTGCTCATGTCGTTAAAAAGTCAAAGAACAGGAAGACTGGTGATGAAGAACTGAACCAAGAATTCATCAACTTGGATGAAAGTATGTCTTTTTATGCAGTTCTCTAATGGGCTTTACACTGTGGTTTCACATACCAGTTTTGAAGTTCCGGCTTGAGACATCTTAAAAGGGACTGTTTTACAGATTGTCTGAAACTCTACAAATCAAGTTTCCTTAGTTGATATAAATTTGGACGACCAAAGTTAAAGTAACCAGTTAGACTTGAAAGTGCTATCATGTAGTTGGTACTGTTTGCTTGTGCAATAGCTGCTCATATTTGAAAGTCCTTCTTAATGATATTTTATGGTTTCAAACAAACTCTTAACAGAATTTTACTATTTGCTGTGTGCTTGTTTGTAGCTAATACAGAATACATAGTTAAGAGATGTGTGATTAAAATGTGTATATACTTGTACAACACAATGACTTTCAAGGTTTGTTTTTTTATTTTTATCTTCCAAACATAAGCCTACTGGCAGTAAACTTCTAGTTGTCTCTTACAGATCCCCTAGAAATAATCTTGCAGGCCATGTGGAGAATCATGAACCACAAGTATAAAAAAGGGTGTTCAGAAAACCTAATTTTCACTGCATGGTTTTTTTTCTATCTTGTTTGCATTTATTAAAAATGTAAACTTCCAACTGTTTTTTCAGCTGAGGCTCAGACCTTTGATGAAGAGTGGCAGAAGGAGATTATGAAGTTCAAGCCATCTAGAACTAGATGCACTTTAGAAGCTCCAAAATACAGAAGTATTCATCACGTACCCAAGGAAGGTGGATTAAGAAGGTAAAAAGTAGTTTCCTAGCAGAATAAGGAAATACTAGCACCAGAATGAAAAATCAGTTCTGAAGCAATCTGTTCATGAACAAACAATGCTTACTGGCAATCTGAAGAGAAATAGTATGTTTTATTTCTCCTTTTCTCATGATACCACAATAAACAGTGTAAGGCAGTATTTTGTGAACTAAATTTTGAAGAAATTTACGTTTTTTTGACTTTGGAAATTATTTAATGAATTGATAGGCTAAAACAGTGAGTGTGTTTTCTGGAGAAGTATGTCAGTGCTCTTAGCTCAACTAGGTGCAAAAGTAGTAGCTGCCCTCACAGTGATTAAACTGGGTTAGTGGCATTAAGGTATAATCCTTCTTGAGGGCTAGGTTGATCTCTTCTCTTGGGTAAAAGGGAAGACACCTTCCATATAGTTGGAGACACACATGCCGCTCACTTCAGGGTTAGATTTCAAGAGAGACCTCTCTTCCTAATCTTAAAATCAGGAAGTCTGTGTAGGAATGAGGACTTTATCTGTAAATGCAAGAGCTCCCCTGCGTAGACTGCTATCTGCCAAGCTTCAGTTTTTTTCCTCTCCTATTGACATAGTGTCAGTGGAAGTTGTGATGCCTTTATCAGTTGCATGTTTGGTAGAGAATGCTACAGAAGGGAAATACTCCTCTTCTGTAGACTACACAGAGCGCTTGCCCTCTGGCATCTCTTCAGTTCTAGGGGTTTATTACAGAGGCTACTTCACTTTCAATTTCAGTTTTCAGACTAAGCTGTTTCTTTCTTCTCGTCGAGTGTGCCAGATGAGGCAATGGTCCAACTCCATGGCGGTAACAATGGAAGTAGTTTTGGAGGGAGAGTCAAATCTGTCTTACAACTAAAATAACTATACCTCCTCATAAGTAATTAACAAAATGTATATTCCCCCACCCCCATATTGTATGGTGGTTGTGATTTTGTTGTTGTTGTTTGTTTCAGGGAGAAACCACTTGCAATTGCAAGTTCAAGGGAGCCCAGAGTTTCTTTGGAGAATCTGAATGTGAAAGGAACACATGTCCCCATCAAAAGCAGCAAAAAATAAATTGCTTCCATTCTCCATTTGAATGGAGTTTCTTCAGAGAAGATAATGGTGCTGCATTGCTTATGTTCGTACAAGTATACACATATATATGACCAATTGCTGTTTTTTGTTTTAGTATTAGCGTGCCTTGCTACTCTGATCTTTTGACAACTGAATGTTCTTTAAAACTTCAGATCCTTGGTTAAACTGTCTAGTTTCAGTAAATTAAAAACTCAATTTTCCACTTAAAAGCACTTTAATGGATTATCACAAATTCTGTTTAAATAGAAAAAAAAGCTTTGATTTTTCTGCTACAACAGCACCATTCTCAGACTTTTTATTAAGACTGGTAATGCAACTGATGCAACTGCTTTTTTCCACACTCTAGAACTTGTACAGAAAGTAAATTCTCTTTTTATTTTGTGTGGCTGAAGTAATTACTAATTTTCTAGGTGATACACTGATTAATAGCAATTTGAATACACTATAGCCACTATATGTATCTTTAAAATCATACTGTAAACTGTTACAGAATCCTCAGATTCACAAGGATCTCACATGAAGAAAAGTGAGAGGAAATACTAAAATGACAAATACTTTAAACTTTAGTTTATCAGTGTTCTTGTGTTCATAAGCTGTGCTTGCATCTTATTTTCTGCGCCTGGACTGTCAACTTTGTACTTCTGATCCTTTGTATATTTCCTTTGGAGGTGGCCCATTATTTTTCATTCTTCAAGATTCTCTGTAGTAGCTTTTAATTATTCTGTCATAATACCACTGTGTCCTAAAACTCAGCTGTAACTATCGGTTATTAATCAGGAAAATATGTGGGAGAAACTGAGCAGGCAGCAGTTAAACTGGATAATGAACAATTACACCATTTCTTGTGTTGTAAAAAGCTGAAAGAGCCCTGCATACAGGAAACCATTTCCCCCTCAGCTGAGATGAGATGTGTTTGTTTTCTTTTGTGTCCTGTTTAGTGAATGTAGAACGAACCTAAATCTATCATTTGTTCTCCGATGATGGTGGTGGTGGTGTTTGCTTAAAGAGTCTGATGTTCCAGAGAAAAGCCAACTGTATGACCGAGAACAGGGAAGGTCTTTGTATTACAAGTGTTAAGTCGGTATGCTGTTTTGTTTCACAGAATTGATCCCCATGTTGTGGCGTAAATAATTTCTGTAGACTGTAACGTTACAGCATTAACATGTATTTCAAGGCCAAAACATTACAGTGTAGCCTTAAGAAAAGGCACTATTTATATGATAAAGTAGGTTTAGTAAGTTAATATTTGTTTGGCCAAAAGGAAATGGCCTTTAAATCATATTTAATCTCTCTGCAGATTCCCCAGATTATTTAATTCTATGTTTATTAATGTGCAAAAATAATCAAAAGTACTTTTGTTGAACTCTGACAAGGGAAGACAATTATTTACTTGCTTGTTGAATGCAATGGTCTCTTCCTACTATTAGAGCAAATCCTAGCGGCAGTGAGTTTAGGCTATCGAGCCGTCCTAGGAGCAGTCAAGGTAAGGGGCTGGTGACCTCTGACAGAAGGGCAGGCTTGCCGCTGTGTGATCTGAGAGTCGAGCTTGCCAGAGGGTGTCTGCCAGAGCCCTGAATCTAAAGGATGCTTTTACTCTCCTTAAAAAATAAGAGTACAACTCTAGGGCCTGATCTTCCATATACTGAAGACAACATTGATTTTTGCAATTAATGTCATTGAGAATAGGCGGCCATGGAGGCATTTTCCAGGTATGTCACTTAAATTTCCCAATAATAAACAGCAAGAAAGTTTTTCATGTTGTCACTTCAGAAGAAATCTTTGATTTGAGAGATGCTGCTCTTTAACAGAAAATAGTATTCATCTGACAACTTAGGTTTTTGTCTATGCTTTACTGAGATAAAAAAGCACGATACATACATGTAACCAATGAAACAAGTACAAACTTTGGTTTCAAAACTATAGTGGAAAGAGGCTAATAGTCATTACACCTAACTTTGTTATGCAAAACAATGGTCTAAAACGTAAGGCAAAAGAAATTGTTCTATGTAGAAACATCTGAAACTGTAATTCTTTAATAAAGTCATTTGTTACTTATGGCTTTTGTTTGGCTTACTCTACACCACAAAATGACTTGTGCATTACTTATTTTGGGCTGCTTCGAAACACTTTTGTTACACCAATAGCAATGCTGTGAGGGAAGATATGCCCCTCAGTTTCCAGAAGGAAAGCATGCATTTACTGCAAAAAAAAGTTTGCTAGAAGGAAACAGATGGGGATGGGACTGGAGCGTGGAGAGAGCCAGGCTGTTTCTCTGCTTCAGAACTGCGCTTGGAGTCTTCTCTGGTATGAAAGACTAACTGTTCCTAGTGTAATTCTAATAGTGGGGGATTTTTTTTTATATATTTGAAAATGTAAGTCTGTGCTATAGCTTCCTTGAGCTATGACATGAGCCTTAGTGTGCTATCGGTTCTAACAACCATCATTACTTGATTCCGAATGTGAGAATTTCTTGTTTCCTTGTGATAGTTACTAGAGCGCAGTCGCGCAGCGTGTTCTGTATTTGTGTCTGTAACGATGGCTAACTGAAACTTTGCTATCACAACACTCAAAAGTGTTATAAATTGGTACCTGAGCTCCCACATACCACGGGATTGTATTGTCCTTTTTCATGGGGTGCTGCCGTACACTTCTCTTGACAAGAAGCCCAGGTCTTTAGTAGTTTCTAATTAGTAAATTAGGCCTGTGAACGGTAACCCTGTACTTGACACCGGACTGCCGGAGTGGCCTCGTTTGGTAAAATCGGCTACTCTTGCCCTGCAGTTACAGTATTGCTCTGATGATTCGATGCCTTCAAACATTGCCAAAGGTGAGCTTCGGCACCGTAAACCCTAGTCGCTCTGTCAAGGTCGCTAATTAAATACCGCAGCGCTTGCTCCTCACCCCCTTTTCCCGAGCGTGACCCGCTGTTTCTCTGAGGGCCTCTCCCCTTTAGATACCGCCCCC